AAATTATTCTGCTATAGTGCAAGTCTCTGTCGGTTTAATAAAACTACATAACGTTAAAACTGTAACCTGAAATCAAACTGTCAAATATAATCTGAACTGTAATTAACCTTTATAATGATGAATACACTTTGCATAGATTGACCAACAATACTGAAAGCAAGTCACAATATCGTGATCTGATTTACTTTTCCTCATCACCTGGAGGTCGGTAGAATGGTGGATGTCCTGAGTCCTGGCTGAAGGGCTGCTGAGCTGGACCTTGAGGGTGTGCTGACACCTGGCTGAAGGGCTGAGGTAGATCTGGAGGATGTGCAGGGGGGATGGTTGAAAGGTAGAGGTTGAGCCAGATCTTGCAGGAAAGACAGAGGCTGGTTGGTTGTCTCGTTACATGGTGGAGGCTGAGGTGAACCCATGCTAAATTTAGGGGGCTGAGTAAAGTTGTAAAAGGTAGGCTGAGGCGGCAAGTTGTCTTGGGTTGTACTGTGAGGGCTGGACTGGTGCCTGGTAGAAAGGTGGTTTACATAACACCCTCAACACACACGTTACCCTGAGAAGATGAGGGTCACCTGGTAGCCCCCTCTTAACTTATATGTTAGGTTATAATATGGGATTTGGTTCTTCAGATCCAGGTCACCAGTGCACTGGATCAGATCATAGATAGACTGTACATTTTTGAATGACAGACACGTACAGGGTAGTCTCTGCTTCTCTGATGGGTTTCCGAGTTGTGCAAAGAAAACTGGGAGCAGCTGACTGGCTCGTTTATTCTGTTAACAGAATTTTCCTCTAATAAACACGCCAACTTTCTAGTCTCCAAATGTAAAACTTCTTTGCAATATTTCTAACTTTTATTTTATATTAAAGTGCGTTTCCACTCAAGACTTTCTATATGCGTCGGCTGTGAATGTCAAGACTGAAAACTTACCTGTCTCGCCATCAATATCCAGGCTGTCCGCCGACCTCCTCGGAGTTTCAGGCTCCTCTTCGCCTGCTTCGTAGCTATCCAGCAGCTCCAACGGCTGACAGCTGGGTTTATCGCCCATAACACGGCTAAGCTCGTTATAAAATGGGCAGGTGATGCGACCGCGACCGCTTCGGTTATTGGACTCATTTGTTTCTTTAAATTTAGCTTTAAGGCTCTTCACCTTCCTTTGGCAATGCAGCCATGTTCTCCTGTGTCCCTGTTCTTACATTTCCTTTGCTATTTTATCAAAAACGGAGCGGTTACGGTACGATCCTTCTAGTTTTGCTTGAATTGAAGTATCTCCCCAAATACTAATTAGGTCTAACACCTCACTCTCCCTCCATTGACTTGCTCCATCACTGTTCTCCATTTTGTAGGCCTAGTCAAGTTTTTAATTTTACCGTCTGTGTCGAGGGCGAACTCGCCGGCGCATCACTGTGACAAATGTCGATGTAGATTGACGTAAAAGTCGCATCAAATCCAGCTTGGTTGTTCACACTGCGGCCGCATTGAAAACAATCAGACCTGGATCAGATTCAGGACCACATATGGAAGTGGTCTAAATCTGATTTGAGTGTTCACACTACTTCTGAAGAAGTCTGACCTGGTCTGAAGTCTTGACCCCAAAAAGATCCGATCTGGGCCACTTTTGCCTGCAGTCTGAACGTGGTCCTAGATACCAGTAAGCAGACACATGTTGGACCCTCGGTCATGTGATGGGACGTTTACATCTCAAATAAAATGTAACATCCAAAGATAATTAAAATATGGCTTAATGTGCTTAAAATGCACAGATAAAAGTGCTAAATCAACACATTACACAGTTCAGTGTGTAACAATTATACAAACCAACATATTACACAGCATTGGATTCAGTTTGCAGCATTAAAATATCAAGCTAATGGTTGTAGCATTAGTGAATGGCGTCTGCCATTGTGCTAGTTAGCATCTTCAGCTAGCGCTTAGCATGGTAAAGACGATCGCTCACCGATGCGTTTCCTTCGTGAGGGAGACGTCAGGTCTCTCCGACTGCACTCTCACAGGTCCAGGGCTCCACACTGGATTATTTCAATCAGTTTTTAATCAGTTTTCAACAACTTTTATCGCTTTATCTTCACGAGGTAGGAATCGTTGTCGACGCGGGGTTTCCTCTCTGTTCTTCCAGGAGCTCAAGGTGACGTGAACTCTGCTCCGTGCAGGTCAACAGTCCGAGCTTCTTCCTGATTGGCTGACAGCGCGTCTCCAACCCATCTCCTTCAAAATAAACTTCCTATTTATTTTCTCTTTATCTCAGTTGAATTGCTTTTTAGACAAATATCAGTTTTTAATCTTTAACATTAATAACGTACTTCATGAATTTACTTTTTAATGTAGCTCTTTTTAATACAGATTTTTAACCTTGGTTACACTTACTTTTAATATGTATTTGTGAATTTGATTCATTTTCATTGAGTCTGAATTTTATCTCATTGAGTTATTTTTCATTTTCTGTTATTTTGGTTTATTTCCAGTGGAAATTGAGTTTTCTGAACTTTGTCCTTCCGTAGCTCCCGAACTTCCGTAGCTCCTTCGTTTGTGTTGTTTCTGTTTAGTCACCCACCCCACACACACTTTTTACTCTGTTTAACCTATTCTATATAGTTTATATAGATTTGTTATTAAATTAAATGTTTTCTTGTAACCGTAACGGCTCTTTTAGTATTTTTATTTTTTTTTGTAATATGCACATTGAGTTACATATACTCTGTAATGTTTAAACTAATTTATTTATATGTATTTTCAGAAAGATAATGAAATCACACAGTGTTGTTTTGCATTGCTGAGGAAGCAGAGGTGCAGGAAAAAAAGAGCAGAAGGAAATGAATGTGCTATATTGTCTTCTGCAGGAGCAAATAAATGCTGGTTAACAGTTCTGTGAGTCGTCCTCTGTTTATGCCCAATCCACACACCTGTTACACATATAAAATAAAAAGTTTCTGAATGACATCACATTGTAGGAGCGAATTATAAACTCACATATACAGTATGTATGTATAAAAGTTATTGTTTACTTTTACATAGTAATTATCCAAATATTTGAGAGGTCTTATGGCTTTCTTGTTTGTTAATCAAAGTCAAACAGAAATTATAATTCAACAAAATACAGATGAACATTAGGTTTGAAGCGTTCCAGCCTTATGGATATGATATTTGCCAACAAGACACATAAGTTTCATAGCAGCGTTAATGGGTTGTGAGTTAATATTACAATTTAGAAAGAAGACCGTGTCACCTCCGTGTGTGTCACCTCCGTGCAGTTCCATAAAGTCACCAGCAGGTGTCAGCCTATGAGCAGTGTATGGGAGGAGCCAGATTATTTTGGCACCTTCTTCTAAATGTTTCAAAGTAGAAAGTTCATTCAAACGTTCAAAGTTCATTCAGCTTTTTTCATATTTTTTATATTGTGTACACAATTGCAGCTCAAAACTCAAGAAACTTTCATCCCCTTGCTCTCTTGAACATAAAAACATAGGAACAATGTGTGCCGGTATCAGAGTTAAAAATGCACTTTATTAAATCTTACTTTTAACATGTATTTGTGAATTTTATTCATTTTCATTGAGTCTGAATTTTCTCTCATTGAGTTGAGTGTTCAAATGTTAACACAAAAGCTGATTTTTAAGCATATCGGTGAAAGGGGCCCCGGGTGGTACAGTTTATGAGAAGTTGAAAGAACATGAGACTGCACGTGAGTACTGATATATAAAACTATATTAGACAACCATGAGCATAAAACCTGAGTAGATCAAAGTTTGTACATTTGTTCCACGATGACCAAAGATGATGAATTTAGTTTGTTCAAATCAAAGCCACTCTTTACACCTTGGAACTATTTTTACACAGATGCTGAATTTGATCCTGAAAGACTCTTGTTTCACATTTGAACCTTTTTTTCTTCACAGAAACAAAAGTTTTAAGGCAACAAAGTTCAGTTTTAGACTCAAAGTTGAATATTTGTTCATATTTTAATATTTGAGTCATAGAAACACTTTTCCTCTTATTATGGGTTCAAAAAGAAGATTTTAAAAAACAAGCAGCCACATTTGATTTGAGCCAATGTTTCTCAGAGTTATAGAAGAAGATCAATTCTTCCACCCACCTAGAGCCGGGGTCTGTCCAAGGTTTGTGACTCTGAAAAGGAAGTTTTCAAAGAATGATGTTTTAATGTTTTATGTTTTTATGTGTTTAAATATGTGTAGTCATTGGTGGGTATGTCTCACCCTGTGTTACTGTTATTGCTACTGTGGCAAAATCAATTGCCCCACTGAAACAAATAAAGGACTTATACAGACATTCACTGAGTTGGGCATCAGAAATGTTTGATATCTGTATATGTTCATTGTACAGAGGTCATATATGATGAGAACTGCCTTTCTGTATGTGTGATATCCTTTAAACTGGAGAGTGTCAGAGGTTAGAAGAGATCATAGAGAGTAGGATCCTCTGCCCCCAGTATGGGGACTGACCCTCAACCAGTAACCAGAGGCCTCAGAGACCAGTCCGTCCTCCTGTAGACTTGGATTAGAGGAACACAGGATGGAGTCAGGACACCCTGGGGGGAGTAAGGAACTACAGGTGTTACACTATATTATATTCTATCATTAGATTATTATTACTGCTGTATTTGGCTGTTGTAGCTGCTCAGGTGGAGCTGATTTCAACTATTTAGGAAGGACTGTGACTAATTATTATTGTCATTAATCTAAATTGTACAATTTGAGAATATATTGAGAAATGCCTGTTACAATCATCCAGAGCCCACAGTGACACAATGTTGTCTGACCAACAGTTCAAAGCTGAAAATAGTAAAAGTAGTAATACTACACTACAGAAATACTGCATTACAACTTAAAGTGCTGCATTAAAAAAGTTCCTCAGTTACAGAAGTATTATCAGCACAATGTAGTTGAAGCTCCCAGTCTCTCTCTGCAGACACTCACTCAGTCTTTTCTCTCTTCCCTCCCACACACCTGCCGTTGCCCTGACAACCGTGACGTCACAGCCACTCCCTGTCCACAGGTTACTTTCACTTTGTGAACTCGTCGTGTCGCAGCTTCTTCTTCTGTCCATGTGAAGGTTAGTAAGAGACACTTTTCACTGTTTGACTCCTCAATGACTCTTTGTTCATCTTGTTAGTTTAGTTCAGTAGAAAGAGCAGAAAACTCTACAACTGAGAACCAACATGGAGGAAGAGTTTCCTCCATCTTACTGTCAGTGTGTCACTGTTCAAAGTAATCAGAGTACTCACTGACAGTACTCAGAGTACTCACTGTATGATTTCTGTCTGTCTTTATGAGCTCACCTTATCAATGTAGTTGAAGTATGTAAAGTGAAAGTAGTCAGTGTACAGAATGGCCTCTGTCAGTGTTGTATTATTATATTAGTGGATGATTATTATTGATGCATTAACATGTAATCAGTACTTTAATGTTGGAGTTGCTGCAGGTGGAGCCAATATGAACTACTTCAAATACTTTTGGCTGCTTGAATGTAAAATAATGAATTCTATTTTATAAACTGATCCCATGTTTGAAAAGTAAGCAGGAAGTAAAGCTGTCAGATAAATGCAGCTCCATGAGGCCATCTAGTGGACTGATAGTAGAAGTAGAGCAGCTGATGGCAGCTTTCTGCTCTCATTCTTCCTCAACACTGACCAATGAGAACAAGCAGCATCTCCTCTGGCCAATAACAAACCACTATTGATCCATGTATTGATTAGTTTGCAATGTGTGACAGTGATGAGAAAAGGCCATCAGTAGTTCCCAGAGTTCACAGTCATGTTTTCTAACTGCTTCTTTAGTCTGAGCAACAGTCCAACAAGCCAAAGGGATTCAACTGACACTGAGATGAAACAGAGAGAAGCAGCCAATCAGTGGAGAAGCAGCTGATAGTTTTACAGGAGAAATGATGTAAATCAGTGGTTCCCAACCTGAGGGTCGGGACCCCCACTAGTGGTCACCAAAGCTTCATGGGGGGTCTGTAGGTTGGCTTATATCTCAGCATCTGGTTCACTTCTGTGAAGAAAAGTCAATGTAAAGTAAACTGTCTAATAGATCAATGACCAAACATCAGGGACAAGAAAACAGTGAATTTGTCCAAAAAGAAGCATATTAAGTATTTATGATTGTTAAAATGATAAAAGATACATAACACAGACAAACTGTATAAAAAGTTCCCTAAACAGGAAATAATCTGCTCAGAATTAATCAGAATCAACTTCAACTTCTTGCAGTTACTGAGTTCAATATTTGGGTTGATTGTACAGTTTTAGATATAATATGAAATATGTATAAAATATGTCACTCAGTCGGGGGTCGTCAGTTTACTCAGTGATAGAAAAAGGTTGGGAACCACTGATGTAAAGGATGAATGAGTGATGATGAGTTCTCAGTGCTGATCAGTGATTGGACTGATGCTTTCAGCTCTGCTCTCAGTGTTTCCTCTACAGATGAAGGTAGAAAGTCTCTGGGAGCTGATGTGGATGTGAATTCAGCAGCAGCTGCCAAGGTAACAGGATTGATTTTGGATGATTGGACTAGCTGCCACTGCATGCTCTGCACTGGATATAGTAGACTTGGAAAAAGAGCAACATTTCAACTGTTGAGGAGCTTTTCAAAGTCAGTCAAATAGAAGTGAAACAGCAACATGAAGTGTATTTCTCTAGTCTTCAACCAACCCCACAGACTAAAGAGCATTGTGAATGTCATTTCTTAGATACTGCAGCTCAAAGTGCCAACAACATTTCTACTCTGCCATGGAAACTGTCAGATGAGTGGATTTAGTATTGAGCTGAATGAGCCGTTTATATCAGCCAGTAGAGTCCTATTGTCCTATTGTGTGTTAGAAATATACAGTCTGCATCTCCAGCATTTACACACTGACAGATGCTAACTTGCATATGTTGGTCAATTAGCATAATTTGCATTAATAATCAGCTATATGGACAATATTTCAGTAATTGTTTGGCTGATTTAGACAATATAAGAGTGTTTTTTGGGGGGTTATTGACGATGATGAATCAATTTCTGACATCAGTGGCAACATTTCATCTCCCAGTGGGCTGATTTTTGAGGATTTTTTAGTCAATTTTGAGATTATTTATTTGCTTAATGCATAACCACAGCTGCAGAGACACAGGTCAATGAGAAAAAGCTGCACAGCAAAAGAACACCAGCAGAAATTTGAATAAATATCTGAACACCAATGACAAAGAGCTTCCTAAACTGCAGTTCCAATGTATTATGCATATAAATAACCTCAATATTAGTGAACCTGGAGTTCAAATAAAATAAATAATTTAAAGTGCAATTTTGTATTTTGTAAATGTCAGAATTTGATCCATCATCCTCAGCAACTCCCAAAACCACTACTATAGTATCTGTTGAAATATTCTCCATACAGACATACATACATGCTTATTAATGCTAATAGTGATAATTGAGTTGGAATCTGTCAGTTTCTAAATGCTGGGGACCCACACTGTATATTTCTGACATAAAATTTTGGTACTCAACATTTCTGAGTTCACGTTGCTGCGAGTCGACTAATCCCTCCAATCAGAGCTGTGTGTGTTTGTCATGTGACTGAGAGGAATGATGGGAAATAATGTGTGATCTCTCCCAGCAGGTTGCTGTGTCTGTGTGAAGGTGTGGGCTCTGCTATGGATCAGTGTGAGGACAGAGAGGAGGGAGTCCCTCCCTCTAAAAGCACTCTGTGTGGGGAACATGACACAAGGACCAAAGCTCAGAGGTGAGATGAGGATCTCTAACTGTCCATGACTCTTCTCCATGTCACAAAGGCTTTGATTCTCCATTTGAAACAAAGACATTTATCTGAGCAAAAATACGTAGTTGTCAGTATTCAAACAGGGCTGGACAATCTGATCTCAAATCAGTATCAGGAGAAACATTCAGCTTCATAATGAGAAATGTAACAGTAACGTGTGTTTGAATCAATCAGAGCAGATTTCCTTCCTCATGTTGCTCACTGCTGATGTTTGTCCTGATTCATTCCAGTCTGACCAGTTCCACATTCTGCTCTTCTGGACTGGACTGGGAGCTGATTGCTCACTGGTTAGATGTTATAGCTGCTCTCACTTTAATTATATGGAATTCAGACAGTGTGTTGAAGTGTGTGACATCAGTAAATTGTGTTCAGTAACACGTCCATAATGTCAGTAATTGAAGACATTGTTCTTATTGTCCAGCCCTGTATTCAAACATTTCAAATTATACATAATTTCACAAAGTCTTTGATTCAGTGAGAATGTTTCTGAATATGTGAGCTTTAATGAATTTCTTTCTATCAGGATCCATCAGAGACCAGACTGTCCTGAACCTGAACCCAGCTGTGTGTCCATGAAGAGTGATCGCTCTATGGGTGATCGTATATACTTCAAAGATGGCCGCCACTCTGTTGATCAAAGGTGAGGATTTCTAACTGATGGTGAAAATAAAATGATGTGTTTTTATCAGACTCTGTTGTGAAATCTCTATTTTTAAATGTTTTAAAATGTCTTTTAATAGACGGTGATGGTTGGTCAGCTCAATTTACAACCTCAGTTTCACAGTGAACAAATAGTTGCAGCAGTTTATAGAAACTCACTGCTTTGACACCACGTCTGTTCCTCTTTTTATCCTAATTGGACCGATATGATCACTCCACTCCATCATCTCCCCGCCTATACTGCACACTGCACTCAATACAGCTTTAAAATACACAGTGAAACATGTCTAAATCAAACACTTTATAGGAATCCTAACCAAGAACTCCCTGGGTACAAATACACTGTGTACAGTCGGTGTATTCAGTCACTGGCAGGTTCTGTCTCAGTGTGTTGTGGGTGCAGTGCAGAACTGATCCTGTTTTTCTATCAGGAGGAAAAAACCTGAACCCAGCTGTGTGTCCATGAAGAGTGATCGCTCTATGGATCATCTTATGCACTTCAAAGATGGCCGCCACTCTGTTGATGAAAGGTGAGGATTTCAAACTGATGGTGAAAATAAAATTATGTGTTTTTATCAGACTCTCAGTTGTTCAGTTTTACCTTTACTGACTCAGATGAAGTTCTCTGAGCAACAACACTCTTTCAGCAGCAGCTGCCTCACACTCACACAGTCAAACACATTCACACTGGGAGCTGCCCAGTACAACCAGTCTGATACAAGCAGACACTGAGCAGCTCCACTGGAGCAGCTGGAGGCTCTAGGTGCCTTGCTCCAGGGCACTTCAGCAGTGTACAGTGAGGGAGGGAGAGCTATATGGAGGGGTTGGTGAGAGCTGTTGGGACTGAACCAAACTGAGCTGTTGATTCTCAGTGGGATCAGCAGGACTAATAAACCTTTACCACTACAGGGAGTCATCAGATTCACTGTTCACATCCAAATATCACTTCATGGACCTTTACCTTGTGTTTGTCTCTGTGTGGACAGACATAATGTGAGCTCATTCTTCATGATTCCTCCACAGAGTGGACCAGGAGAGCTCAGAGGTTCCCAGTGGTCAGTCTGCCCAGCAGCATCAAACACACCTGGACTCCATATTTATGGTCTGTACATGGACAACAACTACTTTTACATCTATTGTGTTCACAATAATCTCCATGCTGCACTTTTTAGACCAGTGGATTGTCAGTCTGTCCAACATGGATCTGATGTTTGCTTCCATGATTTGACTTTGATTGAGTCATTCATATAATATTCTGTTCCAGCTGCTGGAGGACAACATTGTCACTTTTGTGAAGAACGAGCTGAAGAAGATCCAGAAGGTTCTGAGTCCAGATTACACAGAATACTCAGCGAGTCAGAGGGAGGATGAGGAAGTGTTGGATGGTGAGGATGAAGAGCAGAGGAGGAGCAGCAGAGAGGCATTTCTGAAGATCACAGTGCACTACCTGAGGAGAATGAAGCAGGAGGAGCTGGCTGACTGTCTACAGAGCAGTAAGATGATTTGATGATGATTGAGATTGGACATCAGAATCAGAATCGGAATAAGAAATACTTTAATAATCCCCGTGGGGAAATTACTTGTAGGGGGGGAGGAAAAAGGGGAGAAAAACAAGAGGAGAGGGGAGGAGAAAAAAAGGCAGCACCCAGACTCTGCTCCTGTGGGGGAGTACAGTGTGGGACTGGGAAAAAAACCTCAGCAACATAAGCACATATGATCACACTTTACAACATAAAAACTCAAAACAACTTGCAACGGGGGAGGTAGAAGGGGGGGGGGGACCAGAGAAGGGGGAGAGTAAAAAGAGCGAAGGCTTTCTGGAGGAGTTGTTTCAGCAGCGGTCTTGGCCAAGGCCGGGGCACAGAGGCGGAAGGCAGATTAGATTATGATTGTTCGGGTTAGGGAGCGCAGCCAGCATTTCAATAGCACGCAGCCATTGTCCATTCTGGTCTTCAAATCGATTCAGTCCTTTGCAAAGCGGAAACCTTCCCCAAGTTTTCCAGTTGTTATGACACAGCTGGTTAAGCTCTATAAGATGTTTTCGTTGGGAAAACCGCAGTGCGACAGCTCTTTCCAAGGTGCTTTCCATGTTGAGGATTTGTACCACAGTCTGAGCGCTAACGGCTCTGCTCACTCCATCAATAATGTCGGGCAGCTTCATGGGGCTTTGGCTGCTGACCCCGTCTTCCAATTTTCCGATACACCAGGGCAATGCCTAGATCCAATAGCAGATAGCCTGTTAAACATGATTGATTTGATGGAAAGGGAAATGGAGGCAACTGGGAGAAGTTTACTTTTAAAACTCTGCTGATAATATGACGCACACATTGTATCCGATCTATGTCCATTCTGGTCTGAAAACAGAAACTGTTTACAACTGATGAGCTGGAGTGATTTACTGCAAGGACCATAAATACCATCTTGATGTCTTAAAGTTTACATCCATCAGATTTATTGGAGCTTCTACTTATTAACTACATTTCTTCTTTCTTCATTCAGGAACTGCTGCTCCAGCTTGCCGACGTGAACTTAAATGTAACCTGAAGAAGAAGTTCCAGTGTGTGTTTGAGGGGATTGCTAAAGCAGGAAACCCAACCCTTCTGAACCAGATCTACACAGAGCTCTACATCACAGAGGGAGGGACTGCAGAGGTCAATGATGAACATGAGGTCAGACAGATTGAAACAGCATCCAGGAAACCAGACAGACCAGAAACAACAATCAGACAAGAAGACATCTTTAAAGCCTCACCTGGAAGAGATGAACCAATCAGAACAGTGATGACAAAGGGAGTGGCTGGCATTGGGAAAACAGTCTTAACACAGAAGTTCACTCTGGACTGGGCTGAAGACAAAGCCAACCAGGACATACAGTTCACATTTCCATTCACTTTCAGAGAGCTGAATGTGCTGAAAGAGAAAAAGTACAGCTTGGTGGAACTTGTTCATCACTTCTTTACTGAAACCAAAGAAGCAGGAATCTGCAGGTTTGAAGAGTTCCAGGTTGTGTTCATCTTTGACGGTCTGGATGAGTGTCGACTTCCTCTGGACTTCCACAACACTGAGATCCTGACTGATGTTACAGAGTCCACCTCAGTGGGTGTGCTGCTGACAAACCTCATCAGGGGGAAACTGCTTCCCTCTGCTCGCCTCTGGATAACCACACGACCTGCAGCAGCCAATCAGATCCCTCCTGAGTGTGTTGACATTGTGACAGAGGTCAGAGGGTTCACTGACCCACAGAAGGAGGACTACTTCAGGAAGAGGTTCAGAGATCAGGAGCAGGCCAGTAGAATCATCTCCCACATCAAGACATCACGAAGCGTCCACATCATGTGCCACATCCCAGTCTTCTGCTGGATCACTGCTACAGTTCTGGAGGATGTGTTGAAGACCAGAGAGGGAGGAGAGCTGCCCAAGACCCTGACTGAGATGTTCATCCACTTCTTGGTGGTTCAGTCCAAAGTGAAGACCATCAAGTATGATGGAGGAGCTGAGACAGATCCACACTGGAGTCCAGAGAGCAGGATGATGATTGAGTCTCTGGGAAAACTGGCTTTTGAGCAGCTGCAGAAAGGCAACCTGATCTTCTATGAATCAGACCTGACAGAGTGTGGCATCGATATCAGAGCAGCCTCAGTGTACTCAGGAGTGTTCACACAGATCTTTAAAGAGGAGAGAGGACTGTACCAGGACAAGGTCTTCTGCTTCATTCATCTAAGTGTGCAGGAGTTTCTGGCTGCTCTTCATGTCCATCTGACATTCATCAACTCTGGAGTCAATCTGCTGGCAGAACAACAAACAACATCCTGGTGGTCTAAATTAATTAACGACAAAGGGAATCTAAAATATCTCCACCAGAGTGCTGTGGACAAGGCTTTAGAGAGTCAACAAGGACACCTGGACCTGTTCCTCCGCTTCCTCCTGGGTCTTTCACTGCCGACCAATCAGAATCTCCTACGAGGTCTGCTGACACAGACAGGAAGTAGCTCACAGACCAATCAGGAAACAGTCCAGTACATCAAGAAGAAGATCAGTGAGAGTCTCTCTGCAGAGAGAAGCATCAATCTGTTCCACTGTCTGAATGAACTGAATGATCGTTCTCTAGTGGATCATATCCAACAGTCCCTGAGTTCAGGACATCTCTCCACAGATAAACTGTCTCCTGCTCAGTGGTCAGCTCTGGGCTTCATCTTACTGTCATCAGAAAAAGATCTGGACGTGTTTGACCTGAAGAAATACTCTGCTTCAGAGGAGGCTCTTCTGAGGCTGCTGCCAGTGGTCAAAGCCTCCAACAAAGCTCTGTAAGTACAGAAATTTCTGTATTATCACTTAAATACTCTGCTATCTTTTCGACTTAGAGAGATTATAAAAACATTATATATCACCAACATTGGGAACTCCTCACTAGCTGATATCATTTTTACAGAACTAATTTAAAGTGTTTTTGGTTTTGGCTGAGTGATAAAGTGCTGGTCACAAATGTTATTATTGTGCCTTGCATAAGCAAGCACAATACTACTCTTCCTCGTGCTTATTATTATTCTTCCGTACGCTTTTTCGGCGCGCTTCTTCTCCCGCAGCTTTTGTCGCACATACACAAAAAAGGTATCAAAACGTGCGGCTCGATGAGGACATTAGTGCTATGACTTTTCTAAGAATTCCCCCAAACGGTTTGCCGGTAAATCGCCAAAAACCGGTCCAAAAAATGAATGGGTGTGTATTGCGAGAACCTCCAACTGAAAAAAACCGCCAGAGTGCGTGACATCATCGCTAGAGTGTGGGGAGAGAGAAAAATTTGTCGAAAAATAAATTTGTAAACTGCTGTCATGGCCACAAATTTCACTCTACCGAAATAATTTATAGATAGAAACGTAGGTAAATTCGTTGGGGTCGCAGTGATACTACTGCTGAAGCTGTCAGACAAATAGTTTTGGCGGGAAACGCACTGATGCGCCAGCAACGCCCTCTCACGGCCCCATCTACTCCCATGTTAATTTTAGAGGAGCAATCTTGAAAAACGCTCGTTGAACCTCTTCTCTCTCAATCTCCCCAGGTCACATTTTTTAACTTTAGCCACTGAAACTCGGCAGTGCTATAGTCAACAAGATGACGACACTCACGGTCTTTTCAGTTTTCATTTTGGACGTTCCTGGCCATGCTTTTGAGGGGATTCATTTTAAATGTTTCTGTCTCTCTGAGGAGTTAGAGACAGAGAGAGAGCGTGCGCAGCTGCTGTGGGCTCCCCTGATTGCCATGACAACCAAAGCCTGCTCACACACACACACACACACACACACACACACACACACACACACACACACACACACACACACACACACACACACACACACACACACACACACACACACACACACACACACACACACACACACACAGCTAGCTACAGAGAATGACATGGCATTAATAAGCTAGCGCTAGCTGGCTAGCTAAAGATAATTAGCAGGTGGCTAACAAACAAACAATTTAAAGCTGAATGATTTTAATATTAACACAAAATAAGAACAATACACCTTAAATATTTTACCCCACTATGAGCTGTTCCTTAATTTACATTAGCTCTCCTTCAGGAGCATAATACAATTAAACACATTAACCAAAGCTAGCACTTAGCTAGCGATTAGCGATTAGCATTTAGCTAGCGATTAGCGCACAGCTAGCGATTAGCATGTAGACATGGTATTAACATACGGGCCAGAGCAAGGCACAATCAAAATTTCTTTAGGAATTTTCTAGTTTTTCTTATTGTTGATCATTGTCTCTACAGACTGAGTGACTGTAACCTCTCAGAGAGAAGCTGTGAAGCTCTGTCCTCAGTTCTCAGCTCCCAGTCCTCTAGTCTGAGAGAGCTGGACCTGAGTAACAACAACCTGCAGGATTCAGGACTGAAGCTGCTTTCTGTTGGACTGAAGAGTCCACACAGTAAACTGGAAACTCTCAGGTCAGGATTCATCAACCTGTTCAACTGATAACCACTTTAAACCTGAATTATGTTGACGGATACAATTGTAATCTTCCTAACATTGTCTCAAATCATTGTTTTGTTTATTTAGTTTGAGTCTCTTTCCTTGAACATGTTTATTATGTAATGTGTTGTTTTGTGTGTTTGCAGGCTGTCAGGCTGTCTGATCACAGAGGAAGGTTGTGCTTCTCTGGTCTCAGCTCTGAGCTCCAATCCCTCCCATCTGAGAGAGCTGGACCTGAGCTACAATCATCCAGGAGACTCAGTAACAAAGCTGTCTGCTGGGCTGGAGGATCCACACTGGAGACTGGACACTCTCAGGTATGAGGCGGATCAATACAGTAGTAGTAGTCAGGTGACAGAGAAAAGGTGATGAAATTTCTGTTTTTCTGGACCGATGTCTTGTTTCGACATTGGAAAATAGGACAGTGGTTTATCCTGATGGGTTGGTGAGCATCATGGCGGGTTGATATTTGTCAATGTTGTCACGCTGCAGGTTTGTGGGCTCATATCATAAATAGTTTGAGATATTTTGATGGATGTCATCTGCCATCAGCGTGTGTTACCTTTTAGTCCAGAAAAACTAAAGGCGTCACCTAAACTACAATTCAGTTCAGTTCAGTTCAGTTTTATTTGTATGTCACCAATTCATAACAGAAGTTATCTCAGGACAGTTTTCAAATAGAGCAGGTCTAGACCGAACTCCTTATAACATTATTTACAGAGACCCAACAGTTCCCACCATGAGCAAGACCTTGGAGACAGCGGCAAGGAAAAACTTCCTTTTCTGCCCTGAAAGAGAGAGAGAGAGAGAGAGACAGACAGAGACAGACAGAGAGAGAGAGAGAGAGAGAGAGAGAAAGAGAGAGACTAGAAATGACTGATGAAGATGATGATGATGATGATGATGATGATGAACATGAAGAAGATGATGACAACGACAACAACGGTGGACAATAATAATAGTAACTATAATAATGATTATAATAATAATAATAATAATAATAATATCAGTAATTTTGAGGCTCCACCAGGATCAATGAGAACCTGCGAGACGAGAAAGCACAAGAACTCCGGGGAAGAAGTGAAGTTAGTAACATGCATAAATGGGACCATGATGAGGTAGAGTTGGTTCGAAAACACGCATAGTCGGACACACAACGAACAACACAAGCGAGTCAGTCAATGAAAGACAGGTATGGCGAGCCCAAATAATCCAAAAGTAGCCTTCTCTAAATGGAAGTATAGCCATTACTTTTCCCTCCAAGAAATTAAAGGAACGAATGTAATCGTGAAATGCACATTATGCTATTATTATGTTAGATAGAAAGCACCTCATATTGTTGTAAGTACAGAATATCTACCAATTGTCTGAAGTTTTTTTTTATTGGCACTACAAAGAGTGTATATATTTGTTATTTATTTTTGGTATAGTGCTTAACAAGCATAATTTAATTTTGCCCAGTTGTGGCCTGTTGAGGGGCAATAAATATCAAAAGTTCCAAAACATCTATTGTGTTATTTGTATGGATCCACTATATAAATATATTATCTACATACATGGCATTTGATTGGAGGCTAGTCTCACTTTGTCCCACAGCAACATTAAAATAGTTTAGATTTGTGTACATTGTTTCTGTTAATAATGTATTGTATTAAGTGTCCATTTCATTATAATATTCAGATTTATCATAAATAATTGAACATGCACGTGTGTTTTAAGTTCCATTAAAGAGGGGTGGAGGTGGGGTCACATTTGAGCATTTAAAAATGTAGTTGAAAGTAACGCAATAGTTACTTTCTGAAGTAACTAGTTACTTTTATAATTTGTAACTGAGTAACTAATTTAAGAAGTAGAAGAAGTAACTAGTAACTGTAACTAATTACATTTTAAAAGTAACTTGCCCAACACTGGAGGCAACACACACTGCGAGCTAACTATCAGGCTGGAATTTGGAGAAGATGTTTAGAAAAGGCCCCACAAGTACCAAGCCCTGTTGGCAGAGGATGGAAGATGAAGACAGAGGAGGAAGGTGAACAGTTGGTGCTGCACTGGATGGAAGGCCGGCCAGCACCTGAAGCTCTCCTGGATCTACTCGCCTGCAACTGCACAAAAAAATGTTCACTCGATGTATGTGTCTTGCAAATGGCCTCAGGTGCACAGACATGTGTAAACTGACAAAGTGTGAAAACCAGGCGACCTGTGTAGAAAGTTCAGATTAAGACGAGGACGACATGGAGAATGATGATGATTAGATAATAAAATAATGGATATCAACATACAAACCAGTCTTTGATTAAATATATTGACTTTACAACCTGTTTCTTTATTGAATTTTACAACTAGTAGGGCTCCATCCTATTTGTCCATTCTATTCGCTCTATTCTATTTAATTTAAGGCTCTCACAAATAAATAGTAGGGGTATATTATACATTTTCTGAATCATCAGAGTGCCTTGAGTATTGAAGTTGTTGAGTTTTTTTTCCCTGATGTTCCTTCATGCCCCAGGGATAAAAGAAAGCATACAGTTTAGGCGGAAATTGTGAGAAAATGTGTGTTATTTCTGGTTTAAAGAAGTCATGTGACCTCTGTGTTTGTCAGACAGATTCAGTTCTGGGCTTAAATGAAAGCCTAAAAGGTCCCCTTTCCAACGATACCAAGCACCATATTATGGAATATTGACAATATCCCTACCATGAGCCTAAATCAGATATACACCAGATTTCAAAAACGGAATTTATCTTAGGGGGTTAGTAACTTCATGAGCTGAAAAAAATGATTTTGCTACCACCCCTGCACTGCTATCGTGATTTTTCTAGTACTAGGGCTGTATACCTTGCCAAAAAACAATGATAGCATTTGTCCCCCCCGATGATACCGATCAACCCCCCTGGCTCATGGACTAATAGTTTTGAAAGAAAATAGTGTGGGTGTGCGCGTGCAGGTGCAAAGACTGGAGCGACCTTTAAAAAAATTGCCGCTCAACACAAAATCCTTTTGCTCCCCGCTCCGCTCATATGCTCTGACAGGGACTAACGTTAGTTTCACAACTTTGATCATCCGCCACTGGACAGAGGTTGTGAACTAAACAAACAACGTTGCTATCCAGTGTGCGTGTAATCAAAAAGGATGGAGATGGAGAGTGTTATTTTGATCGTGTGTTCTTTGCGTAATGGATGTGGAGAACTGTTCAATAACGTTTAAATAGTCAGAGATTATTTCCTTGTGGTTTGCGTAAAAGGATTTTGGAGCTAATAGAGTCGCATGTGACATAAACGTAGATGGTGCAGTGACTCAGGTTCATGCCAGCTGAACAAATCTATTGCATTGTTATAGCTTTAATGTGAAGTTTAACTAATAGCGCATATATTCATCTGAGAATTGATGATGTCTGTGTGTTACAGACCCTGGCTGTGTGCGCTGAAGTGTATATGACAATAAAGTTATTATTTTTTATTATTTTTTTTATTTTTTTATTTTTTTATTTTTAAAATGTATTTTAAATAGGCCTATAGACTCATAGGTTTGTTGTCCAAAAATACCAAACAATTTTTTCACAGCCCCCCCTGTTCAAAATTAGAAGTTTATTTAAATCAAACAGTTAACTGCCAGTGGTCAAAGCCTCCAACAAAGCTCTGTAAGTAGAGAAAGAGTTGGATTTCTGTATTATCACTTAAATACTCTGCTATCTTTTCGACTTAGAGAGATTATAAAGACATTATATATCACCAACATTGGGAACTCCTCACTAGCTGATATCATTTTTACAGAACTAATTTAAAGTGTTTTTGGTTTTGGCTGAGTGATAAAGTGCTGGTCACAAATGTTATTTTTCTTATTGTTGATCATTGTCTCTACAGACTGAGTGGCTGTAACCTCTCAAAGAGAAGCTGTGAAGCTCTGTCCTCAGTTCTCAGCTCCCAGTCCTCTAGTCTGAGAGAGCTGGACCTGAGTAACAACAACCTGCGGGATTCAGGACTGAAGCTGCTTTCTGTTGGACTGAAGAGTCCACACTGTAAACTGAAAACTCTCAGGTCAGGATTCGTCAACCTGTTCAACTGATAACCATTTTAAACCTGAATTATGTTGATGGATACAATTGTAATCTTCCTAACATTGTTTTGTTTATTTAGTTTGAGTCTATTTCCTTGAACATGTTTATTATGTAATGTGTTTGTAGCACCCCAACACTCAGTAAATGCTTAAGTTAAAGCAACTCACCCTGGACTTAAATGATGGGGTGTTGGGGTTTGATTTATTAAGGTAGGTACCACGAAGGTTTACCTGTTTTGTGTGAAACTTGTTATGGCCTAATACTTTATGAATAACGAACAACTTTGTTAGACTAAGCAGTGGCTCTATTCACACGTACTCTACACTATTTTAAATAACTGACCCCAGACAACTCTTTCAAATAAATGAAATAATAGTTAACTAACCAGTTGTTTTCCAGTTTACCACAAATAATATTTACTTTGTTAGTTAACAGATGAACAAAAATGAAATAACACAATTACTCAAATTAGACTTCTTTAAAATAAAAATACTATAGTTGTAAACAAAATGACCTTTATCAAAATTGGCAAAACGCTGTAGAAATTTGGACACTTATAATAAGCAAAATAGAATTGGCAATATCAAAATACTATTCAAAATTCAAATAATTCCAGGTCTCCTGTAAAATTCCTAGTTCTTACCCCTTAATACGATTTCTCTATACTTATCAAACTCAGATCAAATATGCTACTTAACTGAACTCTAAACAAAACAGTGGGCCCACACACACTCACACACACGCACACACACACACACACTCTCACACGCACACACACACACACGTACACACACACACACACACACACACACACACACACACACACACACACACACACACACACACACACACGCACACAAAAGCTAAAAAAGGCCTGTGTGTTGCTCGGTGCGGTGCGGCGGGGAAATCCTTATCCTCAGTGACAATTAACAGTCACATGGAAAATCAAACTCATGGTCTGGAATAAGTCCTGGAGAAACACTTAATGAAGAGATGAAGATGAAAGCCAACGGCAGCAGAAGTAAAGTCCTCCTCAGGAAGCGTGAAACAGTCCTTCCCGTTCAGCAATGGCGTCCTCTTGGCTCGATTCTCCCGCCCCTTTTCTGTTCACTCCCTTACCTACGGCCAATTACCAACAGGTGACATTGAGTGATAACTACAGCAACCAATCAAATGAAACAGCATGAACCAATGACACAAATCTGAAAATTCATGTTTAGTTTACCACACACTTTTCTTCAGCTACTATACAGAACAGTTTGATGTAACTACTTAATTAACTATTTACACTCTATTTATTATGAATTTATGTTAATCTATCGGTTAACATTGAATTATTTAATTAATTCACTGAAATAATTATTTGTATTACAAATTAACTTGTTTTAACCCCTGTACTTTTACACCGGACTACATGTTGTTCTGTGTGTTTGCAGGCTGTCAGGCTGTCGGATCACAAAGGAAGGTTGTGCTTCTCTGGCCTCAGCTCTGAGCTCCAACCCCTCCCATCTGAGAGAGCTGGACCTGAGTAACAAAGAGCTGCAGGATTCAGGATTGAAGCTACTTTCTGTTGGACTGAAGAGTCCACACTGTAAACTGGAAACTCTCAGGTCAGGATTCGCCAACCTGTTCAACTGATAACCACTTTAAACCTGAATTATGTTGACGGATACAATTGTAATCTTCCTTACATTGTTGTTGTTTGAGTCTCTTTCCTTGAACATGTTTATTATGTAATGTGTTGTTTTGTGTGTTTGCAGGCTGTCAGGCTGTCTGATCACAGAGGAAGGTTGTGCTTCTCTGGTCTCAGTTCTCAGCTCCCAGTCCTCTAGTCTGAGAGAGCTGGACCTGAGTAACAACGACCTGCAGGATTCAGGACTGAAGCTGCTTTCTGTTGGACTGAAGAGTCCACACTGTAAACTGGAAATTCTCAGGTCAGAATTTGTCAACCTGTTCAACTGATAACCACTTTAAACCTGAATTATGTTGATGGATACAATTGTCATCTTCCTAACATTGTTTTGTTTATTTAGTTTGAGTCTCTTTCCTTGAACATGTTTATTATGTAATGTGTTGTTTTGTGTGTTTGCAGGCTGTCAGGCTGTCTGATCACAGAGGAAGGTTTTGCTTCTCTGGTCTCAGCTCTGAGCTCCAACCCCTCCCATCTGAGAGAGCTGGACCTGAGCTACAATCATCCAGGAGACTTAGTAACAAAGCTGTCTGCTGGACTGGAGGATCCACAGTGGAGACTGGACACTCTCAGGTATGAGGCGGATCAATACAGTAGTAGTAGTCAGGTGACAGAGAAAAGGTGATGAAATTTCTGTTTTTCTGGACCGATGTCTTGTTTCGACATTGGAAAATAGGACAGTGGTTTATCCTGATGGGTTGGTGAGCATCATGGCGGGTTGATATTTGTCAATGTTGTCACGCTGCAGGTTTGTGGGCTCATATCATAAATAGTTTGGGATATTTTGATGGATGTCATCTGCCATCAGTGTGTTACCTTTTAGTCCAGAAAAACTAAAGGCGTCACCTAAACAACAATTCAGTTCAGTTCAGTTCAGTTTTATTTGTATGTCACCAATTCATAACAGAAGTTATCTCAGGACAGTTTTCAAATAGAGCAGGTCTAGACCGAACTCCTTATAACATTATTTACAGAGACCCAACAGTTCCCACCATGAGCAAGACCTTGGAGACAGCGGCAAGGAAAAACTTCCTTTTCTGCCCTGACAAGAGAGAGAGAGAGAGAGAGAGAGAGAGAGAGAGAGAGAGAGAGAGAGAGACTAGAAATAACTGATGGTGAACATGAAGATGATGACAATGACAACAACGATGGACAATAATAATAGAAACTATAATAATTTTAGAATATATATTATAAGATTAGAATGATAATAATAATAATAATAATAATAATAATAATAATAATATCAGTAATTTTGAGGCTCCACCAGGATCCATGAGAACCTGCGAGACGAGAAAGCACAAGAACTCCGGGGAAGAAGTGAAGTTAGTAACATGCATTAATGGGACATGAATGAGTGCAGAAGAGAGAGGAAGAGAGGAGCACAGTGCATCATGGGAAATCCCCCGATAGTCTAGGCCTATAGCAGCATAACTAAGGGATGGTTCAGGACTCACCTGATCCAGCCCTAACTATAAGCTTTATCAAAGAGGAACGTCTTAAGCCTACTCTTGAATGTGGAGAGGGTGTCTGCCTCCAGAACCACAACTGGAAGCTGGTTCCACAGGAGAGGAGCTTGGTAACTGAAGGCTCTGGCTCCTGTTCTACTTTTAGAGACTATAGGAACCACAAGTAGCCCAGCATTCAGAGAATGTAGTGTTCTAGAGGGGTAATAGGGTACTATGAGCTCTTTAAGATATGAAGGGGCCTGACCATGAAGAGCTTTGTAGGTGAGGAGGAGGATTTTAAATTCTATTCTTAATTACTACTGATGTGACATCAGTTGTGTTTAATGCAGGGAAATGTATATTTGCTATGTTTTTTAGAAGATATTGAATTTTCCTGTGTTCTGAGCAGTCCTTGAACACCTCCTGCCGTATGTTTTGTTGTTTATTAGAGTATTCAGGTGTCAACCTGTCATTGTCCAATCAGGGTCTATTAGAGATGAGTATGAGGAAACCTACCGGATTCTGAGAGGATTAAAAAGAGAAACGGAGACGTAAAAGAGAGAGAGAGAGAGAGAGAGAGAGAGAGAGACGCTCATCCGCTACGCCTGGTTCTGCTCCATCATACATTTTATCCCGCTCCACTCACCACTCCGCTCAAAAAAACAAAACGACTTCAACAATGTCGCCTTTTTCTTGTTCCACATTATCCCCATCTGTTACTTTTACAGGAATAGCACACTTGTACGACTTCTCAGTTTCTTTTCTGAAGTACACATTAAACTCCATAGTTTTGAAAGAAAATAGTGTGGGTGTGCGCGTGCAGGTGCAAAGACTGGAGCGACCTTTAAAAAAATTGCCGCTCAACACAAAATCCTTTTGCTCCCCGCTCCGCTCATATGCTCTGACAGGGACTAACGTTAGTTTCACAACTTTGATCATCCGCCACTGGACAGAGGTTGTGAACTAAACAAACAACGTTGCTATCCAGTGTGCGTGTAATCAAAAAGGATGGAGATGGAGAGTGTTATTTTGATCGTGTGTTCTTTGCGTAATGGATGTGGAGAACTGTTAAATAACGTTTAAATAGTCTGAGATTATTTCCTTGTGGTTTGCGTAAAAGGATTTTGGAGCTAATAGAGTCACGTGTGACATAAACGTAGATGGTGCAGTGACTCAGGTTCATGCCAGCTGAACAAATCTATTGCATTGTTATAGCGTTATTGTGAAGTTTAATTAATAGTGCATGTATTCATCTGAGAACTGATGATGTCTGTGTGTTACAGACCCTGGCTGTGTGCACTGAAGTGTATATGACAATAAAGTAGTGAATCTCAATCTATTTATTTATTTTTAAAATGTATTTTAAATAGGCCTATAGGCTCATAGGTTTTTTGTCCAAAAATACCAAACAATTTTTTCACAGCACCCCCTGTTCAAAATGACTTCCAGCAGCCCCGGGGTACAAATTAGACTTAGATTAGAGTAGCAAAATTCAACTGCTCTTAACTCATCCTATAGAATAACATTTATCAGTCATCAGCTCATCATCTGTGTCACCTGTATTGTTACCTGTGTTTGCTTTACTAATTGAGGCGCCATCTTGTGGTTACATAAAAACACAGCAATCCAGGCAACAGAACAGAAAAACTAAAGGCGTCACCTAAACAACAATTCAGTTCAATGTCACCAATTCATAACAGAAGTAACTACTGCACTCAGGTTCAACTCAAGGAGTGAGTAAATGTAAATAATAATAATGTAAAAAGGTAAACACAATTTCACAATCAACAAAAAGTAGAATCACAGTTCAGATTCATTCCAATATATAAAAGAAATAAAAGAACTGAAAGTGAAAGTGTTTCTTTACAGCTTATTGCTGTCTGATATCAATGTTGGTCAAAGTCCAGTCCAAAAGCTTAGTGTGTATCCATGTCCGTCCAAGTGTATTCAATGTGTATGTGCTACCCGGGTAGAATGTGTGTGTTTGTTTGTACGCTTGCTCAGATCTTATCTTCAGGAAGATGATGAAGATGGAGAATTCCAGATACTCTCTAACCCTGCCTCGCATCCCACAGGAAACCCAGAATGTAGATCCAGCAACTCAAAAAACCAATTATCTCTCATCAATTACTGTACAGTATCATATCTCTCTTTAACTCAAGTGTAACTTATAACAAAAGCAATGATGAACTATATCCTGAGACCTTAAAAGCTTAGACATCATTGTGTTTTGTTTCCTTTTTTACCCATATTAATAAATCATGTTACACAACTTATCTCTTATCTCTAATCAATCATGTCTCTCATTCATATTCACCCTTATGTATTTTTAATCATCTCAACATGAACTGAAACACATTATTTATATCAGGAAAAACCCATATGTATACAAATCATGAGCATTAGCCCACATATAGCATATTTTTAACTCTGACTTTAACACTGAACATGGCGCCCAGAAATGTAAACATTAGCATTACACTAAAAATAAATGCATTTCTAAAACACAACTCAGCATATTAACTCATTTCAGTGTCTCCATAACATTTACAGTCCAATTGGTTTTTGTTGATAAGAAAATTGCTTAATCATAACCACACAGAAAAATTACATGTCTGCTAGCAACGTAGCATGCTAACTAGTACACTCTCCAGAGTCCTCAATCATATAAACAAAAGAAAGCAAATCCTCCGGTCGCAGCGGTCTGGCAACAACTTCGCTCCAGTACAGACTCATAAACATGAGAACAACAATATTTCTTCCATAAAATGGAATTAACTAACTTCACTCGTGAGTTGTTAGCATCGGGCTTAGCTGAGGTGTTTTTGATCCCAGCATGCAACGCTCACGTCTACTGGATTTACTACATATCACATCCATAGTGCGCCCTCTAGCGGCTATTTTAGGCAACTACAGTCATCTTGAAACAGTTTCCCTCATAAATTCAGATATTAAAATCAAACTTATTAACTACAAATAATAGTTGGACTTTCATAATGTATGCTAACTAGCATTAGCTTCATGTGGACTGTTGCTAACTAGCATTAGCTTCATGTGGACTGTTGCTAACTAGCATTAGCTTGGACTGTTGCTAACTAGCATTAGCTTCGTGTGGACTGTTGCTAACTAGCATTAGCTTTGTATGGACTGTTGCTAACTAGCATTAGCTTCGTGTGGACTGTTGCTAACTAGCATTAGCTTCGTATGGACTGTTGCTAACTAGCATTAGCTTCATGTGGACTGTACGCTAACTAGCATTAACTTCTTATGGACGGTTGCTAACTAGCATTAGCTTCGTGTGAACTGTTGCTAACTAGCATTAGCTTCTTATGGACTGTGCTAACTGGCATAAGCTTCGTTTGGACTGTTGCTAACTAGCATTAGCTTTGTATGGATTGTTGCTAACTAGCATTAGCTTCATGTGGACTGTACGCTAACTAGCATTAACTTCTTATGGACGGTTGCTAACTAGCATTAGCTTCGTGTGAACTGTTGCTAACTAGCATTAGCTTCTTATGGACTGTTGCTAACTGGCATAAGCTTCGTTTGGACTGTTGCTAACTAGCATTAGCTTTGTATGGATTGTTGCTAACTAGCATTAGCTTCGTGTGAACTGTTGCTAACTAGCATTAGCTTCGTGTGGACTGTTGCTAACTAGCATTAGCTTCGTATGGACTGTTGCTAACTAGCATTAGCTTCATGTGGACTGTACGCTAACTAGCATTAACTTCTTATGGACGGTTGCTAACTAGCATTAGCTTCGTGTGGACTGTTGCTAACTAGCATTAGCTTCGTGTGAACTGTTGCTAACTAGCATTAGCTTCATGTGGACTGTTGCTAACTAGCATTAGCTTTGTATGGACTGTTGCTAACTAGCATTAGCTTCGTATGAACTGTTGCTAACTAGCATTAGCTTCGTATGGACTGTTGCTAACTAGCATTAGCTTCGTATGGACTGTTGCTAACTAGCATTAGCTTCGTATGGACTGTTGCTAACTAGCATTAGCTTCGTATGGACAGTTGCTAACTAGCATTAGCTTCG